GGTGTCTGTAAAAGCCGGAACCCCACCCGGAACCCACCCGGAACACCACCCGGAACACCCGGAACCCTACCCGGAACACCCGGAACCCTACCCGGAACACCCGGAACCCCACCCGGAACACCTGGAACCCCACCCGGAACACCCGGAACCCCACCCGGAACACCCGGAATCCCACCCGGAACACGCTGGAATACGAGGTATGAAGCAACGCACGTGTTTCCTACGGAGCCGTATTAGTGCCATTGAAATATTGCGATTGAATTTCATATTTCTCGACTTTTTTCTCGCGTCTAACATTTTTTTCTCGCGTGTGAAATTTTTTCTCGCGTCTAACATTTTTAGTCGCGTCTGAAATTTTTTCTCGCGTCTAACATTTTTAGTCGCGTCTGAAATTTTTTCTCGCGTCTAACTTTTTTTCTCGCGTCTGAAATTTTTTCTCGCGTCTGACATTTTTTCTGGGTTAGGATAAAACGCGGATATGGACGGACGGATGGATGGCGGACGGACGAGTGGCGGACGGACGGACGGACGGATGGATGGCTATCAAAAAACTTTTTCAGCCTTTTTTGAGTCATATCCGCGTTTTATCTAAAAGGATAAAACGCGGATATGGTCAAAAGAATGTCAATGCAGTTATCGGTTTAAATTCAATTACAATTCCCGTTAAAATATGACAATTTTTGTACGCAAACGCGAATTACAATTGCCACTTTCAAGATTAATTTTCTGTTATCCGGTCGTGTAGTAATCTAACTTTATGCGGCCACTTTGGCATATACATTGGCATAAAATGCATTTTAAATTAGATTGCTACACGGCCGGATAACAGAGAAAATTAACCATGAAAGTGGCAATTGTATTAGTTCGGTGTTTGCGTAAAGTAAGGCCGTACTTTTAGTGACTTCTAGATATATTTCAACCGATAACTGCATTGAAAAGCCCTTGAAAAACAACACATTACAATGATTGCTACATACACCGATAACAGAGAAAATTAAGAATGAAAGTTGCATTAATATTTTGTAGCTATTTGCGTTCGCGTAAAAGTAGACCGTATGGAAATTGTCTTACTCTAACGGGAATTTTAGATATATTTAAACCGAAAACTGCATTGAAAAGCCCTTGAAGAACAGCACATTACATTGGCATAAAATTAGATTACTACATACCCAGATACTACAGAGAAAATTAAGCATGAAATTTGCAATAAATTGTAGGTAATTTGCATGCATGCATGCGTTTGCGTAAAAGTATACCATACGGAATTTGTCTTATCTTAATTAAAGAGAATTTTAGGTATATTTAAACCGATAACTGCATTGAAAAACCCTTGAGAAACAGCATATTACATTGGCATAAATCGATTGGATTACTACATGCCAGATAACTGAGAAAACTAAGCATGAAAGTTGCAATTGTAATTTGCGTTCGTGTAAAGGTAGGTCGTACGGAAATTGTCTTATCTTAACGGGAATTTTATGTATGTTTAAACCGATAACTGCATTGAAAAGCCTTTGAAAAACAGCACATTACGTTGGCATAAAATTGGAGTACTACATGCCAGATAACTGACACTAAATTTAAACTTTATTAACACTAAATTGTAATTTTAGGACACTTATCTGGCAGTGAGTATTTAAGCGAAGAGACATTGATTTTTATTTGTTCAAATTCTAGGACAATATTCTTTATACATATAGATATGCCCTTATAAAACGTTCTTTTGACCATATCCGCGTTTTATTCTTTTAGATGAAACGCGGATATGACTTAAAAAGGGCTGAAAACGTTTTTTGGACCATATCCGCGTTATATCCTTTTGGATAAAACGCGGATATGACTCAAAAAAGGCTGAAAAACGTTTTTTGAAAGCCATCCGTCCGTTTGTCCGTCCGCCACTCGTCCGTCCGCCATCCGTCCGTCCGTATCCGCGTTTTATCCGAACCCAGAAAAAATGTTAGACGCGAAAAAAAATTCAGACGCAAGAAAAAAAGTTAGACGCGAGAAAAAATTTCAGTCGCGAGAAAAAATGTTAGACGCGAGAAACAATTTCAGACGCGAGAAAAAATGTTAAACGCGAGAAAAAATTTCAGACGCGAGAAAAAAGTCGAGAAATATGAAATTCAAGCGCAATATTTCAATGGCACTAATACGGCTCCGTAGAAACACGTGCGTTGCTTCATAGCTCGTATTGCAGCGTGTTCCGGGTGGGGTTCCGGGTGTTCCGGGTGGGGTTCCAGGTGTTCCGGGTGGGGTTCCGGGTGTTCCGGGTTGGGTTCCGGGTGTTCCGGGTAGGGTTCCGGGTGTTCCGGGTAGGGTTCCGGGTGTTCCGGGTAGGGTTCCGGGTGTTCCGGGTGGGTTCCGGGTGTTCCGGGTGGGGTTCCGGCTTTTACAGACACCCTTTCGCGGATGCCGCGAACAGAAGTAGGAGTGGTCTCGATACAATGTAGGACGGTGTTTTGTCCAGAGAGTTTTGTCGATGGAAATTTCCAATGCTTCACACGTAGCAAATGGCCTATTTGCATGCGACGACTATTCTATATATGGATTTTAGAAATATTATATATTAGGAGCGGACCGTTTGATGGGGTAGATTTTCATTGAGCCCGATAATTTTTTTAATAACCTCTGAATGCTGCTTGATCTTTTTCTGTCGTTCAAGGCTCTTGAACGATTTTTTTTTATTTCGTGGGCATATATAAAAAATTGCATTGCTAAGAATTGGAACGGGTGAAAACATACTTATTTTACAGATGTAAGGCTGGTATACTTTAATTTAGGGTATTATAATAAGTTGCGGCACAGTTATTGCGCGATAATAGTAATCATGTGTTTATAAAATGCTCCGCCGTCCGTCGTCCTCCATTTGTCCGTCCGCCTTTTATCTACACTTCTTTGACGTCATCTGGCTATTTGATATTTTCGGTAATTCGGTATTCCAAGAAATAGCCGAAGCGTTCTGTTTCACAAGAAAGGTTTGGGTTTGCTACAAAATTGTTTGATGTTTTGATGAGAAGGTGAGTTTTACTACAGTTAAATTGGCATAAACTTTACTTTGAAGTGTAGATATTTTATACCGAAGTATCCGAGTAACATACAGTATATAGTGTTTTATATAGTGTATAAAAGCCTGTAAAATCAGTCAGTACGTTGTTCAGTTTGTATAAATATGTCGTGTTTTAGTGTTAGATGGACCGACGGACTTAGTATGGGATTCTAAGTTCTGTTGTCCAATCTTTCAATCATAGCTGTATGGCGAAATATATTTGAGATTCGAAGGAGTGAGTGTTTTGGAGCTCGGAAGCAGTCTCTTTCGCTTTCATTTAATTGTTGCGCACCGCCGCACCAGATGTAAATTTGCCAGAATTTGGTAGTTTTCAATTACATTTCAGTTGCACAAAATATGATCCTCCCAAATAGTAATAAAGACTGTATTGGATTCAAGTTTATAATACTCTTATAGCCCATGTTTACATTACAAGCCATTTAACTGATCACAAAATACGTGTAGACACACACAAAGTGACTGTTGCCATAATAGTGCTAAGGGGCCGACCATTTAACTTTTGAGGGGGGGGGGGTGATTTACTGCTGGCAGGGAATTTTTTTTCTGGGATCGTTATGTGCAAGATATTTTTTTTTATCACCATCACCATGTACGATTTTTTTTTTGCCACACTTTCTTTCGCAGCATTTTTTTTCAATAGCTTATACTATTTAGATTATAGTTAACGTTGAGTTTTTTAGCTTCATGCATTGCTCTTAATAATACATTTTGCTATGAGGTATAACATTTTGTTCAGTGCCTTTTTTAAGGATGTGCAACTGGAAAAGTTCCAGTCGGCAAGTCTGTATCCAGGGCCGTAGCTAGCATGTATGGATTGGAAGGTGTAGGCATGTTGCCATGTCATGATTCCCAATGATCTGTCAACAAAATGTACTTGTCATTTTCCTGGCCAGTGCTTCTTATGAGAGGTATTCACCCCCTGTGAATGTCTGCCATTCAATATTTTTGGGGGGGTGAATGCCTCTCATAAGAGCATTTAGTTATTCAAATAACTGATGTTTTTCTGATTGGGTTAGGTAATTATTGGCTGTAATTTTTATCACTGTTATTAAGCATGGTGTACGTATAAGTACGACATCCTTGACTCATTTGGTTGATGAAAAATATGTGGCCGACGAATAAATTGATTATTAATATGGCATTTTTTACTTTTTTATTTGTTTGATGCAACAAGAAACAATTTTAATTTGTACATTTACTACACTGTTGACGAAAAGGTCTTAATTTAGTAGACCTCTAGCCCTATATAAATTGTCAATGTTGTAGATTATAAATTATGGTAATTGTGTTTTTAGCTGTAGTTACGATGGCTGAATCACTTCAATATAAAGTTGAGAAACATTTGACTTGCTCTGTTTGTTTGGAACCACTTAAAGATCCCAAAGTTTTACCTTGCCTTCATTCATATTGTCATGTCTGCATTGTAAACCTGGCCAAGAATGCAAATTCCAATACTATCAACTGTCCCGAGTGTCGATTGGCAGTAGAGGTGAGAAAAATGTGCACTTATGTGGCCTACTTTATTATTTTACTCTTTCTAACCCCAGATGATTTAACTCGATCACCTGGAGAGCACTGGTAATCAATGAGTTAATCAGACTACCTGCCCATGTTCCCACCATGATCAGGCAAACTTTTCAGCTTGCCCAGTGCAGATGCATACTCAAAGTAACACCACAAACATCCAGACCTGCCAACCCTTGAGTAGCAGAAATAGTGAGTTGCTATATCTAAAAAGTCGTGAGATTGACTGAAAAATCGTGAGACTTAGAAATGTTCAGGTTTGCTCATTAATATGACCAGGGTTAACTTTAACAACACTAGAAAATAATCAATAGATATTCAATTTTATGATAGTATGCATTTATATTTTGTTAATATAACCATAAATGCACGCCTTATTAAAAATAGGCTGTTTTTTCTTTATGGTTTTAGTAGTTTCCACTGTACAAAAACAAGAAAACAACGAGTAATATTAGGACTAACAGGACAATAAACTTAGCGGGACATGCCTTTTACTTTGTAACACAAACATCACGCATACAATACACTAATAAAGTGTGATGTTTCCTTGGAAGAGTGTGCCTTATTGTAACTAGATGTTGCGCTCTTCGATGATTTCATAAGTTCCAAAAATCGTGAGATTTGCGGACTTAATCGTGAGATCGTGAGAAAGCATCAAAAATCGTGAGTCTCACGATTAAATCGTGAGACTTGGCATGTCTGAACATCATATTCACCTGAGTGCATAACACCAACACAGACAAAAAGTATCATATCTTAAAATACATTGATATTGAAGGAACTAGACTCAGTTCTGAAATATCACCAACTTGAACCCACGTGACCTCGTAGCTCGGTTGTTAGAGCCGATATAACTAATATCGGTCGTGGGTTCCATTCCCACCGTGGCCGACCAGCTTGCCCGGTGCGGATGCACACTCAGAGTAACACCACAAACAATTAATGCCCTAATATGTCGATCCTACTTTATTATTTTACTCTCTCTCTCTCTCTCTCTCTCTCTCTCTCTCTCTCTCTCTCTCTCTC